TTGTAGACTTTCTAGTGTATCTTTGGTGTGCAAAAATGAGAAAATTCAGAAATGATGTTGTTAACGGTGCCTTGTTAGTGTTTTTTAGTGTGCACAGATGCAAGGCTTCTAAAACAGTCAAAAAGCACAGACTGTAGCAATTTTCAGGTGCTTCTAACTCTTGGATTGTTGACTCTAAAACAGGGGTAAGTTGCTTGAGGCAAGAGATAAAAATACTGAATACTTTGCTCCTTATGGGTGGGAAGTGAATAACAGTAACTAACCTAGGATATTATAGGAATAGGTTCAGAAATGAATACGCCCCCAAAAGTAGAAGTATTTTCTCCATTAATTTCTATTTTAGAAGTTTATAAATTTGTACATAAAATTTAAGCTCTTAGAAATTTGCTTCTGACATGTGTTTGTAGAATACCAGTCTCTTTTAGTGATTTTAAAGTGTGTTACAACCACTACAGCTCACGCTAGCTGGTGTAGGTCAGGGGACTGAGCACGGGCCTGCGAATCAATGGGTCGCTGGTTGACATGTGCTGGGGCACATGCCTGGGTTGCGGGCCAGGTCCCCAGCAGGGAGCTCGCTAGAGGCAACCACACATTCATGTTTCTCTCCCTGTTTCTCCTTCCCCTTTCTCTAAAAAAAAACCTTAAAAAACAAACAAAAAAAACTACTAGAGCTCAATTAGCGATATTTTTGGTTCTCTCCTATCTTTATATTGTAGGGAGAATTTAGAAGTATCTCCTAAATTATTAGTTAAAATTTTCTAATTAAAGGGTAGCAGAACTCCTACTTCAGTTACATACAGCTTAAGTATCTATTACATCCTTTGAACTTTTCAAGAATCTGGGGCTGCAAAGGTCATAAGGCGTGAGTTTTGCCGCTGAGGAACTGAGACTGTATTGGGAGAAGCAGCCATGTGAGAAATAATAAATGTGGTACGTGGTCCAGTAGACTTTCTCCAAAGGAGGGCCTGCTAGTCCCTAGGTGGTTGATGGAAGAATCCTTGCACGAGCTGGTTTCAGTGGAGCAAGAGAAATTCACTAAGAAGTGACAGCGGAAGAAGCGGAAGGTGCATGTTTCTTTTATGCTAGGCCTGGTGATATAAAAAAGCGCCATATTTCTGAGATTGAATAAAGCAGTGGCTTCTCAAATTAGTCTTCATGTTAGAACTATGGAAGAACTGCATTAAGAAAAACACTGATTCTTAGGTACTCCATTCCAGGTACGAGATATATGAGGTATCTTATAATTGTCTCAGCACTGCACAGGTCTTGTACCTCATTTATATTTATTCCTAGGTATTTCGTTTTTTATACAATTGCAGATGGGACTGTTTTCTTCATTTCTGATAGTTCATTATTGGTATATAAAAAGCTCATCCAATTTCTGAATATTTTATGTCGTGTTACTTTACTGAATAAATTTATTAGCTCTACAAGTTTTTAATGTAATCTTTAGGGCTCTCTATATGCAGTATCGTTTCTACAAATAATGACAGTTTTACTTCTTCCTTTCCAGTTTGGGTCCCTTTTATTTCTTCTTGTCTGAATTGTGTGTCTATGACTATGTTGAATAAAAGTGGTGAAAGTGAACATCCTTGCTTTCTTCCTGATCTTAAGGAAGGTGCTTTTAGCTTTTCACTGGAGTATGACGTTAGCTGTGGATTTGTCATATATGGTCACTACTGTGTTGAGTAGATCAGTGGAACAGAACAGAGAGCCCAGAAACCAACCCGTACCTATATGGTCAAGTACTCTATGCCACAGGTGGCAAGAATATCCAATGGGGTAGAACAATGTCTGCAGTAAATGGTGTGAAAGCTGGGCAGGTAACATGCAAAACAGTGAGACTAGACTACTTTCTCACACCATATACAAGAGTCAACTCAGAGTGGGTAACAGACTTAAATGTAAGACCATAAACCCTAAAACTCCTAAAAAAAACCATAGGCGATAAACTCTTTGACATGGCTTTTAGTAATGTTGCTCATATATAGATCGTGCTATACATGATATATCTCTATATCTCTATATATCAAACAGCTCCTCAGGCAAAGGAAAAATAAACAAATGGGACTAAAGTAAACTAAAATGTTTTTGCACAGCAAAGGAAGCCAACAAAACAAAAAGACAACCTACCAATGATACATCCAATAAGGGGTTCATATCCAGACTTTATAAAGGACTCATACAACTCGACACCAAAAATAAATAAAAAACAACCTAATTAGAAATGGGCAGATGCCCCGAGTAGACATTTATCCAACAGAACACACAGATGGCCAGTAGGTATGTGAAGAGATGCTCAGTGATACTAATGATCAGAGAAACACAAATTGAAACCTCAGTGAAGTATCACCTCATGGCTGGCAGTGTGGCTGTCACCAGTAAATCAACAAACAACAAGTGTTAGCAAGGATGTAGAGAAAGGGAACCCTCGTGCTTTGTTGGTGGGATTGCAGACTGGTGCGGCCACTGTGGAAAACAGTGTGGGGTTTCCTCAGTTTAAAAATAGAACTACCATATGACCCAGCAGTTCCACTTCTGGATGTCTGTCTGTATAAACCCAAAACACTAATTCAGGAAAACACATGCATCCCTATGTTCACTGCATCATGATTTATAATAGCCAAGGCATGGAAGCAACCTAAGTGCCCATCGGTAGAGGAGTGGATAAAGAAGATGTGGTACATATATACAGTTACTTGGCCATAAAAAAAATGAAATCTTACCATTTGCAACAACGTGAGCGTACCTAGAGGGTATTGTGCTGAGTGAAATAAGTCATACAGAGAAAGACAAATACCATATAGTTTCACTTATATATGGAATCTAAAAAGCAAAAACAAATGAAACACAGACTCATAGACACAGAATAAATGATGTTTGCCAGATAGGAGTGGGGTGGGTGGCTGGGGAAAAAGAAGTGATTAAAAAGCACAAATTGGCCGTTACAGAATACTCGTGGAAGGAAATGCAAAGTGCGGCATAGGGAATATAGTTAATCATATTCTAATAACTATGTATGGTGCCAGGTGGCTACTAGACTTATTGGGGGAATCACCTCATAAGTTACATGTCTAACCACTATGCTGTACACCTAACACTAGTACAATATTCAATGTCACCTTAATTGGAAATTTAAAACAAGTCTGTACTTTTCGAACACTACTTTTCAAAAGATTAGCATGCTGTAATTTGTCAATTCTGCAAATATTTACTGATGTATGCTGTGTGCTAGTGCCCACTGTAGGCATCTGGTGTGTAGGAATGAACAGAGAGACCACAGGTCCCTGTCCTTAAACAGCACGCAGGCACATCAAATCGGCACACCCAAACCGAACTCAGTGCTCACCCACTTGTTCCTCTCCTTGTGTTTCCCTGTCTTACTGGGTGAGAAAGTTATCCACTCACATGCTCTACGCAAAAACTTGATGTCATTTCTGACTCCTTCCTCTATTCCCCTCCCGTGTGGTCATCAGTCCTGTGGATTAGGAAGCTACGTAGCTCTCGGATCTCTTCACTTCTCCTCTGACTTGTGCTGTCTCTCAACCTGCGGCTTTGTCCACTCTCCCCTCCAGTCCACTCTCCACTGTGCAACTTGAGAGGTCTTTCTAAAACAGAAGTCCCTTGACATTTTTAAGTAACTTTTTGCTTGTCACATAAATTTAACTTATTGTTGACAAATAAAAATTGTGTATATTTAAGGAATACAATGTGATGTTTTCAGATATGTATATATTGTGAAATGGTTACCACAATGCAACTAATTCGCATATCTGTCCCCTCCATATCGACCTATTTTAAATGTGCGAATGCTAAAGAATACTATTCCTTTAGCAAATTGCAAGCGTACAGTGCATGGTTGTGATTATAGTCACCATGCTGTACGTTAGGTTTCCAGAACTTACTTGATAAACTGCAAGTTTGTATCCCGTGATCAGCATCTCCCCCGCCCCACAGGTTTTTGGTAAACATTATTCTACTCTCTGTTACTATGAATTTAACTACTTTTTATTTTTCTTCTTTTTTTAGATTCTACACATAAATGAGATCATGTGATACTTATCTTTCTGTGTCTTATTTCTCTTAGTGTAATATTTTCCAGGTTCATTCATATTGTCACAAATGTCAGGGTTTCTTTCTCCTTGAAGACTGAAAAATATTCCATTTTGTGTGGGTTTCTGTACCTCCTGATTTCAAGCACAGTAGATTAATTTTTCCTCTTTTGACCTTGGTGTAAATAGAACATCCTGAACACAGCAGACTGTGGATAAGTTTCTTTCCCTCACTTTGTATTTATGAGATTCCTCCCTGCTGTCACACGTTAAAACTTAGAGGGCAGTTTAAGATCAAGTTCAGCTTTGCTAGTCAGGGTGGTGGTGGGACCTGGTGTCTTGCTAGAGCAGAGCAGTTATTGTTGTGATGGTCCCACCCATCTCACCCCTTCTTTATCCTCTTCTGAAGAGAAACTGGGCTTTTCTTGGTGTTTTTATGTTTATTTTTTGGTCTGTATCCATTGGAATTCTTGGACTGCCAACTACTGCAGCAACCAGGCTAGAATAGATGAGGCCAAAAAAAACCAAAAACCATCCAGCAAACTCACTGCCATGGTGTGTATGTTCAGGTCCCCAGGTCTGCAATGAGTCCTCCTCCTCGTTTCCACTTTTTCAAGCCTTCGTATGCTTGCTTTTTATACAATGACCAGTGTTTTTAGTCGTCTTTAGTGGGATGATCAGGGAACATGTCTATTCCATCTTCCTGGAGGTGAAAGTCTATTTTACCTTTGGTATCTGTTTTATAAACCTCTGACATCATTAAGGAAAGTAAAATGAAATATTTTATGCATGTAAGGTCAATTAACAACGAACATATTCACCAAAACAAGAACGTTTAACCAAAGTTAATGTTAGCTAAAATATAATCTCACGTGATTCTGTTTATACTAAATACAAACTGAAGGATTCAAACCCTGTCTAAATTTAAATTCCTATGTTTAATTGCAGAATCTTTTAGCTGAAAAGGTAGAACAACTGATGGAATGGAGTTCCAGGCGCTCAATCTTCCGAATGAATGGCGACAAGTTCCGAAAATTTATAAAGGCGCCGCCTCGAAACTATTCTATGATCGTCATGTTCACGGCCCTTCAGCCTCAGCGGCAGTGTTCGGTGTGCAGGTAACTAATGCACTTAAAAACCCTTAAAAACTAGTATCCATGCTTACATATTTGTTCTGTTAGAGTTCATATCAGTATATAAGAATTAAACAGTTGTTCAGTGTTGTGGTCAAATATAATTATGAGCATTTAAAAGTGAACTAAAAATCATCGTATTCTAAAAAAATGACGTTGAGAGGCCCATATTCTTTTAGTGTGTAAAATATTTATTGACCAGTTCCACATATAAGAAAATTTGTTATCTTTATTTCCTGTACAAAGGTAAGAACGTGGTAGAATTGGGTCTGAATATTGCCTACGGAGCTCATCTAATCACATCTTGTAGACAGTGAGGTGGCCCCTTAGACCATCTCTTTTAACAGTTTAATGGAGAGGATGTGCTTCCTAGGGAAGTCTGTTGAGTTTTAGATCCCTCTGCTGATTAGAACTTGCTTCCTGGGAAATAGAAGTAAGCAATTTGGAATGTATGAAATATTCTTTAGTAGGAACATACTGAACAAAATTTTGGACAAGTGAAAATATAATACATATATAACACATGCTGTTTATTTAAGCAGTTTTTAAATTTTGAGATAATTGTAGGTTCATGTGCAGTTGTAGGAAATAAAACAGACAAATCATATACCTTTTACCTCTTGTGTACAGTGGTAGCATCTTGTGCAACTGTAGTACAGTATCACAGGCAGGGTGTTGGTAGTGATACAGTCAGAATACAGGACAGTTCATCCCCAGAGGAATCTTTGCTGTTGCCCTTTTTGCCACCTCCCACCTCCATTCCACGTCCCACCTCCAGAATTTGTTCTCCATTTCTCTGTTTTGTCAAGACTGTTGATGGAAATGGAATCATAACGGTGTAGAATCATTGCAGTTTGGCTTTTATTTACTTCTTATAATTCCCTCAAAATCCATCTAAAGCATTTATCAACAATTTCTCCTTTTTTATTACTGAGTAATATTCCATAACATGGATATACCACAGTTTATTTAAATATCCATCTGTTAAAGGACATCAACATCATTTGTAGTTTTTGGCTTTAACAAATACAATGAGATTTGTTTATTTATCTTTAGAGAGGAAGGGAAGGAGAGAGGGAGAGAAATATCAATGTGTGGTTGCCTCTCGTGCATCCCCTGCTGGGACCTGGCCTGCAACCCAGGCATGTGCCCCGACTGGGAATAGAACCATGATCCTTAGGTTCACAGGCCCGAGCTCAATCCACTGAGCTACACCAGCCAGGGTTCTCGTACAGACTTTTTGTGTGAACTTGTGGGATAAACACCAGAGTGTGGTGCTTGGGTTGTATGGCGGTCACATGTCCAGCTCTCTCAGAAAACTGTCCACGTGTTTTCCAAGTGGCTGTGTCCTTCTGCATTCCCACCAGCAGTGAACAAGTGAGGTCGTTTTTCCGTGTCCTCACCAGCATTTGGTGTCAGTACGAGTTTATTTTAGCCATTTTGAGAGGGATGGGGTGCTCTTTCATTGTGGTTGTATTTTGCATTTCTTTAATGACTAATGGAATTGAAGATCTTTTCATGTGCTTATTTCTCTTGTGGAACATTGTTTCTTGTGCTTATTTGTCATTGTATATCCTCTTCAGTAAAATATCTGTCCATGCCTTTTGCCAGTTTCTAACTGGATTTTTTTTACTGAGTTTCAAGAGGTTTTTATATATTGTAGATTCTAGTTCTTTGTCACGGCCCTTGGTTTTCAAATACTTTCTTCTAGTTCATGCCTTTGTTTTCATGCTCAAAATGGGGTCCTTTGCAGATTTTAATTTATCACTTTCTCCTTTTTAAAGTTCTCCCTTTTCTTGTCAAATTGAAGAACTCGGCTTGGCCCTAGATCCCCAGATTATTTTCTATGTATTTTTTTGTAAAAGTAATATGTTTTTCATTTTGATCTGATCTTTGAGAGAAAGCATTCAGTCTTTCATCAAGTATGAAATAGCAGTAGGATTTTTATAAATGTCTTTATTAAATTGAGGAAGTTCTTTATTCATAGCTTGCTGAGAGTTTTTATTCTGAATGGGTGTTGGATTTTGTCATTTTTTTTGTTGTGTATTGATATGATTTTGCTGCTTTAGTCTGTTGATCTGAAATGATTTTCAGATGTTGGGTCAGTCTTATAATTTGGAATAAATTCTACTTAATTGTAGCATACTACTCTTTTTATGTATTGCTGAATTCTATTTGCTAATATTTTATTAAAAATTCTGTATCTAAGTTTATGATACAGATTGATCTGTATCATTTTTATATCATTTTTATGTTTCTTTGTCTAGTTTTGGTACCCAAGTAATATTGGCCTCATAAAGTGAGTTGGCAAATGTTCCCTCCTCATTTATTTTTCTGGAAGAGATTGTGAAAAATTAAAATTTAATTCTTAGAAGATTGCGTTACTACTTTAAATGTTTGAAAAGTTCTCTGATAAAACCATTTGGGTCTGGAGAATTCGTCTCAGGAGATTTTAAATGACATATTCCACTTCTTGTGAGGTTGAGGACGTCTCAGGTCGTCTGTCTCTTTGTTGCTGACCACTCGCCCACTCTTTCTTTTCCAGAACAATTGCTTTTTGTGTGATGGTTCCACATCCATACTGTGCACGTTGTAGATTCATACGTAGACTTTATATAGATTTCTAAATCATTTTGAACTTCAGTGGAAACTGAAGTTTTTAGTAACGTGGGTCAATGAAAGAAAGAAGGAAACTTTTGTTCATAAGAGCTCACAGACAGGGAATTTCAGTGTCCTGACATTTTCAAGAAGGACCTTGTCACAACCTAATAACCAGTGTATGTTGAGGCTGAAAGTGGGTAGAGAAGATGGTGAAGAAAAGCATTTTGAAAAACAGCCCTTCAGATGATTCTGAGTTCCCCTCCTACCCAGTTTGAGGACCAGCAGGTACTCGAGGGCATTAAGACCGTTGCAGCACAGGGCTGGCGGGTGTGGAGGGGGTACATACAGCTAAGGGGTGCTGCGAAGCCCTGCGCCGGCAAAAATACCACCTTAATTGACATTTGGGTATAAGAGTTCAGTTTTCCCTAAAAATACAGTACGTCTCTGGGTGTACTATAATGCCATATATATTTTAGGAAAATCATTTGCTTGCTACAAAAAATTGACTACATTGATTTCCTATAATCACCACTACATGAAGAAATACATTTATTTGATCGTTGCATTTCTGGAAGGTATAGTCCAGAAATAGTTTATTTTCGAAGTATTTATTTCACAGTTACGTATAATTGCATGTATTCTAATAACATTAACCATAATATACTGTGAAGTCATACATCCTTTTAGGTAATATGTTACTTACAACATTATGTTGTTAAATAAATTGTTAATTGTGGACCCTTAATTTTTTAAATAACACTTAGCTCAAAATAACCTTTGTTTGTCTGCTTATTATAACCTATTTTGTAATAAAATTTACATTTTAGAATAGTTTTAGATTTATAAGAGAAAATTAGTGAAATTAGGAAAAGTTAATATAATTGGTGGATTAAGGTGGTGGTGGGTTGTTAGGAGAGAAGAGGAAGAACAGGTGAGGCTTTGGAACTGAATAAAAAATGTAGAACAGCTATGTGGCTCCCATACCCAGGCATTCTGATTCAATTGTTCTGGGGATGGGCCCAAGGCGGTGACATTGACAAAACTATGACCTAGGTAATCCTAGCGACCAGTATTGAGAAAGGGAAGGTAAGAAGCAGGTTCATGATTCAGTTTTTATTTATTTTCCTTGAGGAATAGTGGGGATGGAAAGATTATTAGTTGGATGATCACATAGCATTGGTGGTCCCTTTTGAAACTAGAATGCCCAACTTCTTATTGAGGAATTTGTAGAATTCAATCATTTTCTGGCCCAGTACTAAGCAGTTTAGCAGCAAGAACACCCTCGTTAGGGGTTAACATGTTTGGTTCATGGTTTAGGCAAATGCTTCAAGAGTGCTAGTGAGAGAGCTTGTTTGGAATGTGTAACTGTGGGCTCATCGTTGTTTAGGGGGCGAAAGGAAGCCAGGGAACAGCTGATAAAACCAGGTGTGATATAATCATGCTGTATTTTCCCAGGTGTGAAGAACGGATTTTGTGTACAAACAGGGTGGGCTTGAAAATTAGAAGTTGTCATAAAGGGTTTACTTGATAAATAATTTACTGCAGTATAATCTAGATAATTGTTGATGTTGGGAAGAGGCTTGAGGGACCATGAGGCTGTGGTGGTGTCTGGATTACATCATGTACATGTGCCACAACTACTCAGGGTGATAATGGAATTGGAGAGGAGGAAAATTCAGTGAGCCAATAGAGGGAGGCCTGGGAGTGTGTCAGATGGGGTGACAAATTTTGATGACAGAGTAATAACATCTTCAAAGGAGGATTTGTGAAATTATTGTGGATGAGCAGCATTCTAAGATCTACTGTTAATAGCCCAGAGAATACTTTGATCTCTGTGATGGTGGGTAGAGTGGATCAAAAGATCTCAGGTAAGAAACGGTAAAGAGTGTTGGAAAAAGTGATTCAAATTATTTTATTGCATTCTAAATTAAGCCTCAGATTCATTGAGAAACACACCCTATCATAAGCAGCCATCCGTCATCCATTCCTCCCTTCCTAAACATGAATTAAACTCTAGGTCCTTCTGTGTCAGTGGACTCTTGGGCCATTTAAAAATAGAACTGCTATAATTTTTATAATTCTGTAGAATCATTGTAAAGTTCATAGCTATAATTTTAAAATCTCACTGCTTTTGTTTGTGCGACTTTCTGCTTTTTTCTTTAAGACATTTTCTTCCAGAGTTAACTCACACCTAGATTCTCCAGTTACTTTAGGTTGTTGAGTGAGCTGTTGGCTGCCCTCTGGGCCCTCTCAGCAAGTCCTTCGGCTCTTCCTGCACACAGTCAGTTTATTCACAAACTTCAGAATTTAATTCTCACCTTCTCCAGTGCTAACATCAAACTCCTGGGCCAAATAAAGCTGTTAATTAAGACTACTTGATACAA